ACAACTCTCTTATCCAATTGTACTTTGACTTTTGCAGCATTGTTTGGGAGGGCTTGGGTTCTGAACTAGCTCTGACGCTTCAAAAATTACAAAACCGCGCAGGTCGGATGATCAGTTATGATTCTAGCTCCGGGCCCCTGCTGCAAGGGCTAAGATGGGACAACCTTTCTGTGCACAGAATAAAGCTCCTCGCTATTAAAATGAAGGTGTTCAACAATATGGTACCTAGCCTTAATATCTATGCCCAAAAGTTTTGAAAATGAGGTCCAATTATGATACTAGGGGCTTCTTTTCTCGATTTCAATTGCCTCTTCCCAAAACCAATTATGGCAAAAAAAGTTCTGGCTATATGGGAGTCTATATTTGGAATAAACTACCAGAGGATTTGCGTGGATGCAAAACAATGAACTTTTTTTAAACCTAATAAATTGGACCGATTGCTCCCCAGCCTCTTTGATTCCTTTCTATAACCCTAGCTTAGAATTAATTTATCAAAGGTTAATTTCTAGGTTCTAATTTCTCAAACTAATTAATATTAACTCGAAACCGCAGATAGATATATTCATTTTTCAACAAGGCTTTTATGTAAACCAGTTTTAGCTGATAATACTACCTTGTCCTCTCTCTTTCTAAAAAAATTGGCTGTAGAAAGAAAACTTTGAGCGATTTTCTTCCTTCGAGGAGTTCACCTTGGAAAACAGTAAACACCCGCGCCGGGAAGCCGGCTTATAAAGCTTCACGTCGAGACTCAGGATTTTTAGAGACACTTTAATACTTGTCTTCATGAATGAAAATTGTTATCTCTGTAAATGTTTCACCGAATTATATTTCTTTTTTAGATTGTTAGTAGTCTCTCTTGCAATTTTAATCGCTTGTCTGTGCCGTTTGTTTTCATCATTCATGAACATCGCTTGCGGGAATACTCAAAAATGTCGCGCGTATCAAACGCTTTATAAGATTACACATCGTTATAACTGAAACCATTAAATAACAAAAAAAAAAATAATAAATTCGCTATTATGTTGAAGCTTAACTCTATTAAAGTTCATTCAAACTCTCGACCACACTGACAGCACGCATTATAGAAACAGAACCGGCTGGCCATAAGGGTGATTTTGGAAATTTTTGAACGGTTTCGCTTTACGATTGATCGTCCTGAATATTGACGGAGTGCAATTTGTCTCGAAAAATTGTGAAATACTGCATTCTGTCCGAGGTCTGTATGATAAATAGTACTGTTTCACCTCAAATGTGATGTATAAAAATTATAAAAGGTTGGTTTAAACACCCCCAGATTTGTTGGCAAGAATTTGTAAAGTAAACATGTCGAACGCCAAAAAATTCGGCGTGATTTGTTTTCCAAGAATTTGTTTTCGAGGCCTAATCTACTGTGATCTTGAATGTGATCGAAGATGTTTGCTATTTTTTGGGTGTACATATAAGGTTGTCAATTCGATGTAAGATGTTTCACTCTAAAATAACTTAGACTTTCCCCCAAAAGTCACATGAATGTACCCTTAGGTTAAATGATTTGTGGATTAAAAGTTTATTTTTTGATTTAAATTATAAATTTATTAATTGGAGCTTCGCTTTTAGCCCTGGCTAAATCTATATATTATTTCAAAACAACCGAGTATTCTTTGCCTCTGCTTTTTTGTCAGTCCAGTTCAAATCAAATACAGAATATTCTGTATATTCCTTGTTTTAGAGTATTCCGTATATTCCATATTTTACAATATTCCATGTATTCCGCCATTCCCCCGAATAGGGTCACCCAAATATCGGGGAGGACATCATAAAAAAAGACAGGAGACCGGTAGGATTTTTAAATCGATGAAAGTGCCTCACTCATTTTGCAAGTTCATTTTATAAAATGCTTCATAATTTGTTTCCACAATAATATTTACTATATTTAGATAATAACCAATGCACTACGCACAACTTGCCATATAACATTGGACAGCATACCATGCACTCAAACTCTTGCGCAGGAAAGTTACAGAATGAAATTATTTTTGCTGCACTCAGTCACATTCCTTTACAAGTTCTGAAACCTTGGCTAAAATGTCTCTTTTTAGATCTCTAGTTTTGTAAGGTATTTCGAAATACCTGCAAATGTCTTTCAACATACTAACATTGAAAGATGAAAGCTCAATTGTTGCTATGACGATATTGACAAAGATTGTAAACATCAAATATAATGTGGATGTTTTAAGCCCAAATTTTCTATCACCTCTTCAACAGCATTGAGGGGGAAATGGGGGCTTACGGTATTGCGGTATTAAGCTTTTTTTCAAGCGGTATTTCGGTAAATCCGATTTTAAAGTGCGGTATTGCGGTATCATTTACCCCTGCGGTATGCCTAATGCGGTTTTTCTTCCTTTTGGTTAACGGTATTCGGTAAAAGGAGATCGTTCACAGTATTGCGGTACTGTTCATTGCGCTCTCCTGTCTAATGCACGTCAGTATTTTTAAGACTTTAGATTAATGCTAAATGATTCCCATTACACAATTTCTGACAGATAATCTATGATGAAATTGGTAGGGCATCCTTTTCGATCGTTGTACCGATCAATTCGAGGTCGTCTCACTTTTCCTCGCAATGGCTGAGGTTGATTGCTGGTGCATGAATGCTTTAGATAAACAAACGCGCGAGATGGAAACAACTTTAGGTAAACGTGACCGAAAATAAATGCGGTATCAGTATTTCGACGATTTTTGACACGGCATTTCGGTATTTGCCAATTTTCTTATGGTATTGCGGTATTGGGTACCCCCTCCAATGCCCCGCTAGCATGGCGTTGCTCTCCAATTTAGGTCCGCTGACCCCTACACGCGCTGACCCGTATGCAGCCCACATTCAAAGCACTTAGAGTGAGGCTGAATTCAGCATCAGTGATAGGAACAACATAAAACTATTTCACTTCAGGATTTCTGGTGATAGAGAGATTTTTTTTTTTTTTTTTACTTATATTTCACGCATTTGTTAGGATTCCGCTCCAGCTTGGGCAGGTGAACGCTGTCAGGCGACAACATATCCAAGGTTCAACTCTCCTTAGCAGATGGTAATTTCGAGTTATTTTCTTTTTCTGCGTATCTTTCATTTTCCTTTCTCTTTTAATTCTATATAATTCTACTTAGGATGGTCTCTGAGCGCCTAGCAAGGATTAAAGTGGCGTTTACCACGCTATCCACGGCCGTATTGGCAACAAATAAGTGTTTCGCCGTAGTAGCAAGATAACGGTAAACACGGTAACTTTGAACGCTTTGTACAACGTCAATATACTTTGGCCGAAAAATGTTTTTCCAGAATCGTAATGTATATCCCTCCAATGTCTGATTCATCACTGTGATTGCTTNGCGTTGCTCTCCAATTTAGGTCCGCTGACCCCTACACGCGCTGACCCGTATGCAGCCCACATTCAAAGCACTTAGAGTGAGGCTGAATTCAGCATCAGTGATAGGAACAACATAAAACTATTTCACTTCAGGATTTCTGGTGATAGAGAGATTTTTTTTTTTTTTTTTACTTATATTTCACGCATTTGTTAGGATTCCGCTCCAGCTTGGGCAGGTGAACGCTGTCAGGCGACAACATATCCAAGGTTCAACTCTCCTTAGCAGATGGTAATTTCGAGTTATTTTCTTTTTCTGCGTATCTTTCATTTTCCTTTCTCTTTTAATTCTATATAATTCTACTTAGGATGGTCTCTGAGCGCCTAGCAAGGATTAAAGTGGCGTTTACCACGCTATCCACGGCCGTATTGGCAACAAATAAGTGTTTCGCCGTAGTAGCAAGATAACGGTAAACACGGTAACTTTGAACGCTTTGTACAACGTCAATATACTTTGGCCGAAAAATGTTTTTCCAGAATCGTAATGTATATCCCTCCAATGTCTGATTCATCACTGTGATTGCTTTGAACAGCGTTGGACTTTTGAGAAATAATTATTTTAAAATCACGTCCAGCGCTTTATCTAATTTAGTATGCAATGTTTGAAAATTTATTTTTTATTCACTTCGGCTGTTTTTCGATGTTCATCGAATTATATTGCATTAAAAGGCCTTTTTCTTCATCAGTGTGTAGTTTTCTCATTATTTTGCTTTGCGATAGTGATTTCTGAACCGTTTCTTGCGAGGGCTTATTTTATGCCTGATTTTGCTGCTATCAGACGGAAAAAGTTTGCGGCTCGATATTTTTGGTTTAAAGCGAAACTGAAACAAAATAAATTCATTTTTGAATAGTATTCGGTAACCTCTACTTGGGAGATAAAAATTGGCCGATTTTATTTTTTAGCCGGAAATCATCGGTCGTTTCTACAGGGCCTCTTAACACTTTCACTCCTAGACCAGCTGGTTTGGGTCCCAAACATTTCTGGGCCTTTCGAGAAACGAACACCAGGGCGAAAACTGGACTGCCTCAAAAGGCTGAAAAACGAGCGTAACCTTCTCAAATTTTCCTCTCCTTTTTAGAATCCCACCTCACTTGGAGATTTTGAATTTGCAAATTGACCGGCTCAAAGCGCCAGTTCCCACGAATGCGAAGCACTCCTGGCGTAAGTTTTAACCTTTCCTACCTTTCTCCTTTCAGAAATCCTGGAATTCCTTTGGACCACTTCTCTTTGCGTTCGCAAAAGAAAACTGGTATTAAGAGCACAGCATGATATTTAACTATAAACAACAGTGTTTATGGTGTCTTATAACCATGTGATGAAAAGTCGATTTAACAATATTTAATGGAATGATTCTGACCCTCTCATTCAAATATCAACATCTTAAACAAGGTACATGTTTAGTATTATCCCCCCTAATTCTATGCATCATGCTAAGGTCAACATTCGCTCAAAAAGAAAAAAAGACGAACAACCAAGCAAAAACACAAAAGAACAAAAGAAACGGCCTTTGTGTTGAAAGGTATACAAGTCCCTAAAATCAAGAAATATATGTGGAAAGTAATAGTATTTGCATGCGGTTCGTTTTGCGTCAGGTATGCTTTAAATTACGCATACCACGCATAAACGTCAGCACATGTCTGACCGCTGTTATCGAATTCGTAACAGTCCTTTAAGTCTGCCCCATACCAAAGTTGGAACTCTTGACCAACGGAGACGGATATTGGAGAGGGAAGGATGTTAAACCGAAGCTCGGTTTCGTTAACAGCTACGCCGTCTATCTTGTAAGAATAATATGTACAGCCGCCGCCTTTGCCCTGGCTTTTTATGTAATCTGCGAGCAAAAGAACAGACCTGTTCTGAAACGTTATGATAGTAAGTAATGTCTCCTCCCCAAAATTCGGATGTTCACATCCCCAGAAAGAAGATGGGTATTCAGGGTTACAGCTAACTGAGCCGCTCAGATGAACAAGTTTAAACGTATAAATGACCCCACTCTCCGTGATGTTAAAGGTTCCGTATGAGTCATCTTTTGCTCCAAAGCAGACTGGGTCAGTGTTGATCTTCTTCCAATTCTCTGGAAAAAAATCGACGTATATTGAATTCAATAAATAAATTTTATTACGTTTTTTTTCTGCTCTTGCTTAAATGCTTAAAAATAAATAAGTGTAGTGTAGGGGAAGAGGAAGTGGCCGAGGGAAAGGGAATAGGGAAGGAGGATCTGCGACAGGGGTTGATTGTAGATGAAACTTTTCCCTACTTTTTTAACTTATGTTATTTTCTCAATTAAAAGCTCTACTGTATTAAACAAAAGATTATATTCAGTGTTGGTGACAGTTGTTTATCTTGCCACCATGTCTAAAACATTGCGACTGGTGATTAGTGCAAACACATAGCGCAAACAATTTTGGTCAAATTAATTGCAGCAAGAAAAAATACGTTACCAGCATAACAGCCATAGAGCTCAACTCATTTTATGATTCCAGCATCTTCACAGTAAAATTGATGAGACAATTTTCTTACAGTCACTAAAATTAATTTTCTCTTCCCCTGTAAGCGAAAAAACTATTTTCTTACTATAAATGAACTTCATAAATTAACTTCATAAACGTAAACGAAAATATCAACGCTGTGTTAGTAGTGTGTCAGAGAAAATAAGAAGTCCTTTAGAAGTCGCTGCATTCGAGCTTTATATCTGATCTCTACCTTCACAGTCGCGTCCATTTCCGATGTATCCCTCCTTGCAGCGGCATTCAAAGTATCCAGCGGTGTTTAAACAGGTTCCATTCACGTGACAGTCATGGCTTCCACTTTTGCACTCATCAACATCTGTAGGAAGTGAACGAGAGACTGATAAATTTGAATAGGCTGCGTTTGGGTTTAATATAGTAATACACAGATTTGAGAAAAAAATAGAAGTTTTATGTAGACGAGGCATTGTGGCCCTGCAGAAATGAATTAAACAATGACGGAAGAGAAAAGCAGAGAAAGAGAAACAATAAAGGCAAATTTAAACCTACTACAGCGGAGCAAAATATTGATGAAAAAAATGGTCTCAATTACTGCAGAGCTTCAAACGATAATAATCGAACCAGTTGACCATTAACCTGAACTATTTTTCAATTCTTTTTTTACAGTTGTCATCTTTGAGATCAACAAAATTATTAGTTTCTTCATAATTTTGGTTGCTCCTGAAGATGTGTTAAATTTGCCTGTATCTATAACTGCTTACTTTGTCTGACAAATTTGCTTTGTTTTGTTTTTGTTTGTTTGTTTGTTTTTTTCCTGAGGCCCGCTTTACGGGGTTGTTTTGAGCGCAGCACTTAAAACACTGAAATTAGTAGTCTTCATTGCTTTTTGTATGTTCTGAAAAGGAGATTACTCATTATGTATACACATGTTTTTCTAGCTTTGTGTGCTTGTCCCTTTTGATCTTTAAATAAGATATAACGCCCCATTTTAACCACCTACACTTAAAACCAGAGCCTGCCTAGGATTTCCTTCGATTTTAATAGTTCTTTATCCATTTCTTATTCTTTTATATTATTCAGTTCAGCTGTCCAAGCTTCGTTAGCATGCATGTGCAAATGAAAGGCAAAACGTCCATCTGCTTCTTTCCGATTCGCTTCACTCAACGATGTGATTGACCAGTTTCAGTAAATTGGTCAGTGGAAATTGGGGTTTGAGCTCGGTGACTGATCTAGTGGTGGATTCCGGGAAAGCCCCCGCCCCCTTTATTTATTTTTAGACCAAACTGAGGCCCTAAGGGCCGAAAAAAAATTTTTGCAGGCCACCCCTTTCCCCCCGCCCCACTTATCTGAAGGTCTGGATCCGCCACTGGAGCTTATACCTATAATTTACTTAAAATTATGTAGCAGCTGTGGAGATACTTTACCATAACAGCCATATAGCTCAACTCTCATTGATATCTGTTCGTGCCAATCAGTCGGTTGAAAGCGAATATAACGGGCCGTAATTACTTTGGTTAGGTTATGACGAACGACAGTATTACGGTCATTGTTTCCACTGAATACCTATAAGTTTAAGGATTTGTCAGAAGATTACAAATGTTTGCTTATTTCTGATTAATCGTTTATAATTCTGATTAATTGCTTATAATCTTTCCGTTTTATCACTGTCTATGCAACAATACAAAAATATCTCTTAAGCGCACTCGATCGGTTACCATTTAGGTTTATATCAACCCTATATCAAGACGTTATAGTGGCCTTGTGTAATTAAGATAGGTAAATTAGATCCAAAGTAGCTACCGTAAGTTGCCGTACTTATATCTGCTGCGTCCGAAGATTAGTAAGAAGTATGATATGGACAGTGCAGGTAATAATAAAACAACAAAATTGAAGTGCATTGGATAAGAGGTCATCAACTCTTATATGCTGGTACGGTTATACCTATTCAGGCAGACAGAGAGCAACAACCACAGCAACCAGGCCAGACTAGCAAGAAACTAGAAAAGAGATCGAGATTTTCATTGACGTACCTGTTCCATGCCGGCCTAGCTGATCAAACGTTCGGTAATCGAATCCAATCAAACTCCAATCGTTCGATTGACTTCGATTGGGTTCGGGAATCGAACTTAACCGAACTCGCCTAAAAATTTTGCCAATCAAACACATTCGATCGTTCGTAAATCGAACACTTAAACAATCGGACATAATCGAACGTCCAACACTGCAACAATCAAACATGAAACCAATTTCATCTGGTTTCAAACAAGGCGTTGCGTTCAAGTAAGTTATGTATATTGGCTTCAATTTCAAACAAGAGTACGCAAAGATGTCAAAGAGGGAGTAGAAGAGCCAACCACCTATTTTCTGCATACGGACAATAACTGCTATGCTATTCGCGTTATTGTTATTTCGTTTACATTTAATGAAGCATTGTAACGCCAAAAGTGTAGTATTGCTTCTGTTGTGCAACAGCTTTTACAAACGCCGCTTGTAGTTTTATAAATAGATATTTACTTTGAGGTAATGAGAACACTGGTAGCGCTAGTAATGACTGTTTTGAATATGCTCTACACTGTTGCGTGCGTTCAGGTCCAGTTTCGGTGTCCTTTTTTAATTATCGAAACTTTATCGAAGAAGGTTCGACTTTTCTGCTATCCTAATAATATCCCCGGTCGGTATTTTGGTGGTAGAAGCGTGGACGGAAGCAGGCATTTATGTCGATGTAAAATGTCACATTCAGGCACCCTCAAGTTTTGGCAGGGAACCGCATAGCTATCCACACTTTAAGAAAAAAATTACACTAAAGGCAACCTTAAAGTAAAAAATCTAATCACAGATTGCTCTAAATTCAGTGACCGATGAATTCATAGGTTAAAAGCGGCGTAATGATCCGAATGATCCGAATGATCCGTCTTTTGTCACAGTTATAACGGTCATTTTAGTCATGTGAGTCGAATGGTCCGTCGTGTACTCATTTTATTGTTGGCAATTTTGCTTGAGTCCGTGAACAAGTCATTTGTAATTAAGGTGCCCATAACTGCTGATTTTGATTCAGGAGCCTTTTTTATAATCTAGTAAACCAGTCTGTAGAACACTATCGTAAGGTGACAATTGGTTTATTTTTTGGTTCGACTGTAAATGGTGTTCGGCAATGTGCATTAATTTTGTGAATGTCGAGGTCACCATTTATTGTCGTTCGTTCAGTTTTGCGTTCAGTGATTCGCGTACAAAAGTCGTTACGGTTCGAAACGGACCTATCGCATTTAGAATGTTCATAGCCAACAAGTGAACATCACAGCTTAACTGACAGACGACCAATACCATCGCCATTTAATTGACCAAACTGACGTCTAAATTATATCAAAGTTCTCTGAGTGTCTGAAAATGGCTCACCCGGAAATTCATGTCAGTCAACCTAGTATGAAATGACTCCTTGGTTCAAACCATTCACCTGTTTTAGCTAATATTTCCAGAATGAGATATTGATAGCTCGGTTAAACGCACGAGCACTCAAGGAATATAGTTAATAGTGCTTTACCATGTTTTGCCCTTTTTTCTTGTAGTATTGGAATTGCTTTGTTTCGTTACTGTACTGCAACTTATATTTCATAACCCATTGGTCACTATCTTCTCTTCCTTGTGTCGCTACACCAGTTACTCTTGTGAACTGACTGCCCAGATCAACCTGAAGCCACTGATTGACATCTGTTTCCCACGCTGTCCACCCTCCTCTATTGACCCTGGCTCCATCTACTTTGAAGTTCAGTCTACCCTGGAAGGCATGGTAAGTGCAAAACTTCTCTGAAGAAGCGGTGATATTTCCATCAGGGATCTGGCCCTTTTCCATTCCCAGAGGATATATATCGTGGCACTCTAGTTGTTACAAAAAAAATTGTTAATCATTAATAATTCAAATGTTTATATAAAATTATCCTAGCGTCATTGACTGTTAACTAAAGATTTGAACTTAACCAACGGAAACCGACAATATTAAACTGTATCAATCCTCGTTTACAGGGGCGCCTAAGGACTAGCTACTTTCTGTAAAATATCTGTTACGAGAAGCAGATATTGCCTAGAATTTTCTATTACTTGAGGACGGCTAAGAATTTCTTCAGTTTATTTTTTCACTCCCCAGGTTAGGCTATTTTTCGTCGAAAAAGGGAAACTCCAAAATTTTCGGATTCAAAAATGTGATGGAGAGAGGAAGCAGAAAATTCCCACTTTCATAATGCGTCAAATAATGCGTCTAAAATTTTCGGGACAATAAAACTCAAGCCCCTGAAATTTCGAAAGGACTCATGTTCCCCTAGGATGACCGAAGAGGTTCAAATTTTATTTTTATCGCCACTTAGGATGCACTTCTAGAGCTCTAAAAGTGTTCTGGACTGCCTTAGAAGGTGTTTCAATGTATTTAAGAGGAAACCGTCGTACTCTCTGGTATTCTAGTTTTGTGCTTTTCTGACGCTAAGAATATCCAAAGCTATCCAATTATTGAATGAGGGAGGTACGCTTCGAGGACGAGAACTGTACAGTGGACTCCCGATATCTAACCTTCAAGGGAAATCGAAAAAGTTCGATTTATTGGGAGATCGAAGCAGATGACTAGAAATAAGGAAATGGGATGGGAGAGGAATGCAAGTATCATGCACACTTCACTTCAAGGGCAGCAAGACATATATTGCCATTTTGAAAATGGAGAAAAAAAAACACGAAAGCTTGATTAATCAGTACACGGCTAAACATTTATTTAATTGGACTGACAAAAAAGTAAAGACAAAGAATACCCGTTTGTTTTGAAATGAATTCACTGTTTTGAACTGCAGCTTAATGCTTCTTTTTTGACTTGGCACGCGCTTAAAACATGGTTCGAGTTATCGAGGGTAAAATTGTATGGAAATGACCTAAAGGTAAACAAAAAGTACTTCGAGTTAGCGGGGGGTTCGAATTATCCAGGGTTCGAGTTATAGAGGGTAAAATTACAATGAATGTATGAAGGAAATCCAGGGAAATTCGGTTTTGGTTTGAGTTAGCGCGAGGTTCGCGTTAGCGAGGGTTCGAGTTACCGGGAGTCCACGACTGTACACATAAACTTTGTTGCTGACTGGAAATTTGTTCTTAAAATACTATTTTCATCATCTGGCTTTGGGCTGATAAAAGACACTATCGCCTTTTTTGCCCAAGCTCAACTTTTTCCCATTTGTTTCAAAAGCATGAAGCTTTCAATTAGAGAAATTATGCACATTGTTCGTTTAGTACTCTCAGTGGCAATGCAAGGCTCGCTGTAGTTGTGATTTCAGATAGGTTTCCTTTATATTTTCCGTTCAGTTGGTTACCTCCGTAAAAAAAAAAAAGAAATTATTTTATTTTTATTTTCAAACGGATAAAAAGCTGAAAGGACAAATACCATTCACGTCACAGTTAGTGCTGGCATCTTGGCATCTATTGTTCTCTGTTATGTGAAAAAAAGGAAAAAATATTATCGAATTTTAATATTTCGCATTTTTTTTTATAGAGAGAGTTAACTTTAAGATTTAGAGTAATAAGAGCATGCACCTATATCGTATTCGGGGGATGTCATGGATCGAACCATATGACACCACATGTACAGTGCTTCACGAACCAACCTGCCTTCAGACTGCATAATGGCTTCATCGCCTTAAGAAGACTAACGGTCAATAAAGCCGAAAGATCATGACACTTAATCAAACCAAGTGACTATAAATGTAAGACATATAGCGATACTTCTATTTTCATTGTAACTCCAACGATTTATAACCACAATTTTTTCCATTTTTCTCTTTATTAGTAACTAGGCCACGAAATGCCATTATTTACCATTACGATCATATATTTAGACTCTTATTGATATTTTTGTGTACCATTCTGTGGGATGTTGCTTGAACTTATGACTTTTGCTCATCGTCTGTTCTATATCTATACTCGCTGTTTAGTATTGCAGCAACCGAAGACACCATACATTACCGGCATAACAGCCATAGAGCTCAACTCTCATTGATATGTCAACCTGCCATCCTGTCGGTTGAAAGCGAATGAAACGAGCCGTAATAACTTTTGTCAGGTTATGCCGGACAACCGTGTTACTGTCGTTGTTTCCAACAAATTCCTGCAAATTGATGACATTTCATCAGAATTTGAGTTTCTTAACAATTACCTGACCTTCTTTTACATCCTTATTTGTTTTATCATTTCTGTTTGTTTTTTATCTTTGGATTACTGTATCAACACTAGACTGTTCAGCTTGTATCTTAGGATTAGTCAGTCTTTAGTACTTCTTTCTTTTGAAATGTTTTTTTAACGCTTCCAGTTTTAAAATCTATTACCTTTTCTATGAAGTGATGTTCTTCCTTGTAGTATTGGAATTGCTGTGTTTTGTTACTGTACCGCAATTTGTATTCAGCAGCCTTTTTTATAAGTTAGTAAACCAGTATAACACTATCGCAGGGTGACAATTGATTTATTTTTTGCTTCGACTGTAAATGGTGTTTGGCAATGTGCATTAATTTTGTGAATGTCGAAGTCACCATTTATTGTCGTCCGTTTTTCTGTTCAGTGATTCGCGTAGAAAAGTCGTTACGGTTCGAAACGGACAATCACATTCAGAGTGTTCATAGCCAACAAGTGAACATCACGGCTTAACTGACAGACGACCAACACCATCGCGATTTAATTGACCAAACTGACGTCTAAATTATATCAACGTCCTCTGAGTGTCCCAAAAATGGCTACCCCGGAAAATTATGTCAGTCAACCTAGTATGAAATGACTCCTTGGTTCAAATCATTCACCTGTTTTAGCTAATATTTTCAGAATGAGATATTGATAGCTCGGTTAAACGCACGAGCACTCAAGGAATATAATTAAAGTGCTTTACCATGTTTAGCCCTTTTTCCTTGTAGTATTGGAATTGCTTTGTTTCGTTACGGTACTGCAACTTATATTTCGTAACCCATTTGTCTCTATCTTCTCTTCCTTGTGTCGCTACACCAGTTATTCTTGTGAACTGACTGCCCAGATCAACCTGGAGCCACTGTTCGCCATTTCTTTCCCTTGCTGTCCATGCTCCTATTTTGCCTTTATCTTTTTTGAAGTTCAGTCTGCCCTGGTAAGCGTGGTGCTCGATAATCACCTCTGAGGAGGCAGTGATATCTCCATTAGAGATTTTTCCGTTCTCCATACCCAAAGCATCTTGACATTCTAGAGAAAGGTAAAAAATAAATATCAGTTCAGTGTTCAAAATTCATGCTCTGTGAAAAATTCTGGAAATTTTCCAACTGATCCGAGTGTGTTAATGGTCCATCCACAATGTTGTACATTGCTCAAAGGTTTAAGTCACTGTGGTTTCTCAAAACGTGGCAGCAATTGATTTCTGGTAGGGCCCATAAATGCTAGTCTTTCTGACATATACTTTCGTATGCTGGATAATACATAGACAAGGGTCCTTGAAAAACGCTTCTCGTTCAATGTTGTTCTGGTTGGGACTTCCTGGAGACTGGCTAGGTAAAAAAGTGTATTTTTGATTCCACGGAACCATGTGGTTTACATCCAAACAGTTGATCGTTTATCAGTTAGCAGAGTTAGTAACATAACAACTTTATGCGTCATTCAGACTAAAGGGAAATGTCCTCAACAGAAGGATAAGAACGACGGCTATGTAACAACTGATTGTCATCCCAAAATAACTAATATAACGATAATGTTTCCTCTCTCTTCTCAACTTGTTTGGGGTCTACTGTGTTCTCCTGAACGCGTGACAGCTCAAGACTTACTCTGGCCTAAAAAAGGCTTCCCACTATGGGGTCTGTGATTTCCAGTACCACCAGAATAATTCTGCTTATATCATAATCAGACGCTTAGGTGGCAGAGCTAGCAGTCTTCTTACACTATTTTATTGTTCACGAGGGGGACGTCCATTTTTTTCCCAATTGCCGGGACGGACATACAACTCAAGTTTTTGTTTGAGCTTGGCTTCTTTGAGTTTTCTAGCTAAGAAATCTATTATTTATAAGGTTTGCCAGCTGTAGAAATATATGGTATTGTTTAGTGATATCCTTTGTTATTTCGGCACAGCATCCTCGGACACTTAGTCGGCGGGTCGGGAGAAAAGGCACGACGAAAGTTTCAAGCAAGGGCGGAAGAGCCCCTGGTTACTTACGAGACTATTTCCAAAGTGTCAAGTGAATTCTGGCTTCTGATCTGATTGGGCACAAGAGATGCTTTGCATTACTGTGCCCAATCGGCGAACAGCATCTCCTGAGTTCGTTTTAGGTGTTCGTACACGACGGTTATTGAAATGTTATACTTGTCCTAAAACTAACTCAGATTTCTCCAGTGGCTGCGTACTGCCGTCAAGTCCTGCTTTCTTTAGGTACGGATGGAATATTTTGCTGACTGTTACGAGGGCACCAATGGTGATGGGTACAAGCACAACTTCTTTACAGTTCCACAGACGCTCTACCTCTCTTTTCATGTCCTAATATTTTCCATTTTTCATTGTTCTTTAAGAGTTACTCCATGGTTAAATGGGCATGCGATATCTATTATAATGCGTCGCTCTTTTCCTTCTTATCCTCAACTATGATGCCTGGTCTGTTGTGCTCAATTTTATTGTCATGCTGATTGCAGTTTGAATAGGACAATTCTATAGTAAGGCCATTCATTTCTTTTGTCTGCTCTTCCAACATGTGAAAATTACAAACCTTTAGGGGGTAGCTACATTCCTCCGACTCGTAATTATAGCGGTTGTGGGAGCAATCGAAATCAAACTTTTGACATAGTCTTCAATGAACGCATATACAACCTGATCGTGTCTCCAACTTCTGGCACTCTTGTCAGATTCAATTAGATTAAGTCTCTCCACCCTGAGTTGCCAATGTGGGAGACACGGATTAGACCGCACAATACACAAATGTGAAGTGCAATTAATACAGGCCATGAAAACAGCTTTCACATTGTGTCTCCTACATTCTGCCTTTTTGTATACAAAACGAAATCTTCCCTTTAACATGCCATAGGCATGTTCTGAAACAACCCTGGCAGATATTAATTTTCTATTGAAGTACCGTTCTTTTCGATTTTTGTGTTGTATCTGGGTAAGCTTTCAGAAGCCAGGGGCGTGAAGGAAAGGCACTGTCCCCCACCATCCCTAGAGGAATTTGCTCTGAATTTTACCCTAAGGTAAGGTTAGTACATTATGAGGGAGTACATGACCAGATTATATCTCATGAAAAATTGTTGAGGATTGTAAGAGAGTGGAATCATGTACTGAACCAAGAGCACCTACCCCACCCCAAAGAAATCTTTTGTTGGCTGCTATCAATTCCTTATTGCAACAGAGTATCTTTTCTTAAAGTTAAAAAAATTTCTTTAAATTGCTGCTAATGTAAACGTGAAAAGCGTCCCATGCGCCTACGCAAGGAAATCCCCAGTCTTTGAGGAAAGCATCCAGTTCAGCTTTCCACCCACCCTCGGTTGTTGGTAAAGTCACGTACTCATCATAAAACACTTGACATGATGGCAGCCATGTTTTGTTCTTCGCAACCTAGCCTGATCGCCCTAATCTTTTTCTGTCTTACTTTATTTTACAATTTACATTGGTCGCGAATATAAGACGGTTTCCCGTCCATGAATTTATATTAGACGGTATTCTATCTGACGGAATTCCGTCTGTGAAGAGTTTCTCGTCTTCTAATATGAATTCGGCCAATATCGGGGCCACGAGGTGACGCTCAACTATCTAATTAGCTCTTACCTCATTTGCATAATCTGACATAGTCGCTCTATATTTTCGACCCATATTTGGGCTGTTTTGCTAAGATATTGTAGAAAAAAAATTATTTCTACTGTATTACACAAAATAGTCAACATTCCTGGCAAAATTAGACTCTTAAAAATTTTTAAATTAATTATGCAGAAAAATGCCTTGTTTAAATGTGTGTGTGTGTGTGGAATATTGTGGGTTTCCTGAGACCGAAATAATTTCTTTCTAAAATTTTAATTTTTGCCCTTTCCAATAAGGTATAGCTTTATATGGCACTGTAAATAACAGCAGAAATATAATTTTTTGAAGTTGCATGGTCAAAAATACTTCAAATAAATGCTGAAGACAATGTGTTTTAACTGATCTCTACCTGTACAGTTGCGTCCATCTCCGATGTATCCGTCTTTGCACTTGCATTCAAAGTAACCAGCGGTGTTTATACAGGTGGCATTCGAGTGACAGTCATGGCTACCATTATTGCACTCATCAAAATCTGAAAGAAAAAGGCAAAGGCCTTCATCTAAGAGCTCAATTTCAATTTTACGAAGAGACCAAAGAAAGCCCCAAGAAATTTCGGCAATTTTCCGCCCGTCATTTAATTTCCTGCCTCAAGAGCAAAACATTGTTACAGCCGCGCAAAACATTGTTCTTATAAGTTTTTAGTTGTTAGTCTTTTCTCAATAATTGTTGTTTGTTTGCTTGATAACAATCATTAAATAACATCCGCAGCCTTAAATCTTAGATAGTGTTTTTAACTTTTTAAGATGATTCCCTAGCTTTACATCGAGCACTCTTCAATTTTGTTGTGTTGGCAACTTTAACAATGGACAAAATGCTGTGGGAGCATATACTTGAGGAAAAAAATGAGTTTATCTTCATCGATAAAGATCCCTTTTGCCTTACCTTAAGAGCACTTAAGATATTTACTAATTTAAATTACATTAAAAGCGCACGGCCAAACTCGAAAAAATGTGCCTCGGCATTTTAAAATATTGTTGCTCAACTTTCAAAATACAAGGCGATTGTTTCCGTAACCTACGCGTGTTGAACTTTGAAAAGAGAACGGTCTATCTTACTGATGCGTGTTTCTCGTTTCTTGTTTTTCCCCGGAGCCAAGTTATGCCCAATTTTAGGATATTATTGAGACCGGTTTGCTCTCTGTAAAGGATAGACAAAGAAACCGGTTCTAAGAAAAGCCATTAAATGGCAGCATACATTCGTCCGGGGACCACTTACAACAGTTTAAGAAACGGAAGACTTTTCTCATGTATTTACATCGAGCACGAAGCATTGCAAGCTCACCCTTTCAATTGACCAAAGAACTCGGGCCGTGAGAAAACGCGCGAGCAAGGGTGGAGGAAGAGTGGGCTCTCCCTAGGCCACCACGCAACGTTCTCAGGGCTCTTCGTTGACTCTGCGTCTGCTTTCTGCGTGTCGCTAGCGCATGACTTCCCTCGATATGACCCCAGAAAGAGTGTTTTCTGAACTCTTTCGGATTTGACTTTTCCAGACAACGGGGGAGGGGTGTTCATCAAAACCAATAAATCCTCCCCTCTGTAGCATGAGGGTCTGGTGAATATATCACCTTAAATATTATATTAGCAATGACAAGACGCATTCTTACCATAACAACCATACAGCTCTAGTCTCATTGATATGTGGTTGTGCCATTTTGTCGGCTTCACACGAATGTAACGACTCGTAATAAGCTCGGTCAGGTTATGACGAACAACACTGTTACGGTCATTGTTTCCAGCAAATACCTGCAAATATATGAGATCCACGATATCAGAGAGGATCATATATTCTATTGGTATTTTCTATAATATATATTTGTGGGAATTCAGCTAGAGGAATCCAGAATCCCGCCAACGATTGGGATTCACAATCCAAGTTCCACTGACAAGGAATCCGTAATTTGCAGCTTGGAATCCAGAATTCAAGACTGTCTTCGATTACCTTACAGAAGGTTGAAGCTTTAAATGGCTGCCTTCCTTTAAGTCTTGGAATAAAGCCTTTCTGTCAGGCATGTATATGACTACTTAAGCATATTGGCTCTTAGGGCAGCAAAGGCTGTTCATTTATTAAGTCAAAACGAGACGTGAAAAACGTCTGGCCTAACGTTTTCAAATGCTGATCCATTTCCACAGTAGCGATGACGGAAAACATTCATAACATAGTTTCTGCCTGCATTACAATAGCTGGTTTTGGAAAACGTTGGTACCAAAAACAGATAACAACTGCCCTTACTAATTACTTTTCAACAAATTGCGAAATTAACTGAAAACTTAAGGAAAAGGAAGTTTTGTCCACCAAAATGGTTTAAGGCCATTTGTCAAGGTTAACGTAATGAACTCCGTTCCTTTTTTTTAACACATTTACTTTACTACGCTAACCACACACAACAAAAGCTGGTTTCCAGGTGGAGCGTGACGTGAGCGTAGGCAATCGCAGTATGGTGTTCACAAAAGTAACAAAATTTCGGAGAACAATTAAGTATGTAACATATATACAATATACCAGTTTTACAATATAATTATGTTGGAGGGAGTTTTGAAGAGAATTTACTACAAGTTTAAAATATACGCACATACAAATTAACGAATCAGAGCGACCCAGCAAAAGGAAAAGAGGCAAATTTGTTTTTAAATTGGGAATGCAAGTGTGCTGTTTTTACCTCATAAGAAAGATTATTCCAGAGCATTGCACCACTATACTTTTCTTTTTTCTTGTATAAAGCTGGTAGCCAACCCTTACCTGTTTGGATCGTATCAGAGGCTTAAAGCCACGTACTGCTGATGTTGGACTGTGTGTGTGGACAGTGCTTTCGCGTTACAACGTCCGGCACACGGTAAGCCTTCTAAGATGCTGCCACATCTAATAAGTTCCCCTCTTATATTTGCGTAAGGTACGAAGAGAGAAATGAATATTGTAATTGTCGTTAAAACGCTTATGAAATGAATTATATTTATCATGGTTCAGTGTCACTCCAGTTTTTGGTACCCACTTCAACCCCCTTCCTGCACCAACCAGACTAGACGTTCAGCTTGTTGAATTTTAAAAAGAAATAGCAAAAATAAACAAGGATACCTTTAAATACAGCTTCTAGTATCTGGATTTTAACACAGTTAATCCATGACCCCAGTACTAAGAAAATATAAAAAAGGAATATTCACCTTCGCTACCTTCTGTCCTCTTTCTTCATAGTTTTTGAAGTTTGAATTCTGGTCACTGCTGTACAGTAGTTTGTATTCTATGACCCACCAGTCGTAGTCATCTCGTCCTTGGGTGGCTAAACCGGTTACTCTGGTAAAATTACTGCCCAGATCAATCTGGAGCCATTGTTTGATGTCATTTTCGGCTGCTGACCAGGCTCTCCCTCTGACTCCGTCTGCTTTGAACTGCAGTCTGCCCTGGTGGGCATAGTGGGTGGCATCCCAATGATCTGCGTAATAGGTAGTTGCAACCCGGCACTGGTCCGTATGGTGAGTGGTATTCCACTCAGAAGAGGCACTTATCTGTCCATCAGAGATGCTGCCGTTTTCCATTCCCAGGGCATTTTTGCATTCTGCCATGAATTTAATGTAGTCTCAGCAAATATTACCTATGTACACTTACTCGTCTGGCTCAATAGAAACAATGGGGACGTCTACCGTTTTGAATTAAGGTGACTCGACCCAGTTTTTTGGGGGGGGTACCATCCTACTTTGAAGCTCTTTGGTATCCCCACCTTTGCTTTTATCGTAAGTCTAAGACATAGAATGGATAACATATAGATCAATCTACAATATAACATAAAATTTTTGGCGATCGGAGTAAATGTCACGTGGTTATAATGCCACGCCCCTTTGAGGTCTGAGTCGAAAATCTGCTGTTGCCGGCATTTTTTCGTGAAAATCTCTCGGCTACACATAGTGCGCATTAGTGCCTTGCGCTGAACAGAGTTTCACCAAAATCGCAAAGACCCAATTCGAGAAATTCAGCGGTTTCCAAATTTAGGTCATAATTTATGCGAAAATGATAAGCAAACTTTACACGGATTATATCTAATAAACTATGAGATTCATCTCTTTATTTTGGGCATCGTTATAACAGATGGGTCCTTGCAAGTCAGCAAAACGCTTTAGGGCCTTGTAAATGCGCGCGATTTCGAGCAAAGCAAACATATAGAAATTATAGTTTTCGCTATTTGTTGACGTTTGTCAGCGTTTAAGAGTCCTTCTCACGAAAAAAGCATTTTCTTAAAAATTCGTAGTTTTTTTTCCTTCAAATTTTTTCAGGGCCACAATTGATTAACTAACTACCCGGACTCTGAATTTCATGGTCATTGAAAAACTGTGACATTATCTTCTATAAGCCCAAACTTGAGTAAACATTGAAGATTTTTAGCGTTTTGGCTGAGTTTGTGCTTTGGGAGTTGTCTATTGTTTCTAGTCTGTCATTATACAGCATTCTTGTTCAGCACGCGTGCAATGACCGCGCTTGGCTGACTTCCGAATGCTCACCGAGATATAATAATTTTGGTACAGTGAGACAGGCCATCGCGTGATACATAGAGGTTTAAGTCACAATTTTTAATCAATTCTCGTGCTTCTTGTGCCTTTGCAAAAAAATCAAGAAGTGCTACACACTAAATCTACTTACTATTAAAAAAATATCATTTTTTCATAGGTTTAATGCAAGCCAATAATTAAACCAACTCGTGACGGGAATATCTCGGTGAGCATTCGGAAGTCAGCCAAGCGTGGTCATTGCACGCGTGCTGAACAAGAATGCTGTATAATGACAGACTAGAAACAATAGACAACTCCCAAAGCACAAACTCAGCCAAAACGCTAAAAATCTTCAATGTTTACTCAAGTTTGGGCTTATAGAAGATAATGTCACAGTTTTTCAATGACCATGAAATTCAGAGTCCGGGTAGTTAGTTAATCAATTGTGGCCCTGAAAAAATTTGAAGGAAAAAAAACTACGAATTTTTAAGAAAATGCTTTTTTCGTGAGAAGGACTCTTAAACGCTGACAAACGTCAACAAATAGCGAAAACTATAATTTCTATATGTTTGCTTTGCTCGAAATCGCGCGCATTTACAAGGCCCTAAAGCGTTTTGCTGACTTGCAAGGACCCATCTGTTATAACGATGCCCAAAATAAAGAGATGAATCTCATAGTTTATTAGATATAATCCGTGTAAAGTTTGCTTATCATTTTCGCATAAATTATGACCTAAATTTGGAAACCGCTGAATTTCTCGAATTGGGTCTTTGCGATTTTGGTGAAACTCTGTTCAGCGCAAGGCACTAATGCGCACTATGTGTAGCCGAGAGATTTTCACGAAAAAATGCCGGCAACAGCAGATTTTCGACTCAGACCTCAAAGGGGCGTGGCATTATAACCACGTGACATTTACTCCGATCGCCAAAAATTTTATGTTATATTGTAGATTGATCTATATGTTATCCATTCTATGTGTTAGACTTACGATAAAAGTAAAGGTGGGGATACCAGAGAGCTTCAAAGTAGGACGGTACCCCCCCAAAAAAACTGGGTCGAGTCACCTTAAATGCATCTAAAATCAAATCAAGAAATCAAAAATCGCAGCGAGGCACGAATCAAACAAGGCATAAGTTACTCAAGGCAAAAATGTCAAGTTTAGAACTCACGTTTTGTCACGACAGCAAATAACGATTTTCACGTTACGACGTGACAGCAAGTGTTTTGTCAAAAGTGTCAACAGTAGCTCTCGATAGCCGCAGTGGAATATCTTTGACAAATAGCAGGAGAAAAACAGGTCCGAACAAAAAAGCTCTGGTATGCCATAGATAAAGGGCTGGAATTTTGGCCATTTATATAGTGTCGTCACTGAGACTTTTTTCTTTCTGGAATATAAGAGGTAGACTATGAAAGTTAGGAATCACTCGTTTTGTGCACGCAACCTCTCAATCCGACAAGTCGATCCTCAGAATGTGTTGAAGTCGAGAAACTCTATCTCCAACTTCGATAAAGAACTATATAACGCTTTCACTGACTTATGGGGACAAAAAGGTACGTTTCTGGATCCCATGAAGGGTTTTGGAAGGAAGAAATGGTCTCATGTAGTGTTCGTTTTAAGGAGAACCTCAAAATATAAATCAAAAATACGTTGTTTTTACGCGGTTTATAATTAGGTTACTGGAAAACAAGGTGTTTAGTATGTTTTTGGTAATGACTTGAAATAGCTTAAAACTGAAATTTAAGGCTCTTAGTTCATTTTTATACTCAACTGTTTTGAGTTCTTTCGGTGTCGTGTTGAGGGTGTTACGAAAACTAAGACCCTCGAAAACTAAGACCTAAGACCTAAGACCCGTCTTAGTTTTCGAGATTACGAAAACTAAGACCCCCTAAAATCAAATCCGTCGAAATATGAAGTCAAACTGCAATCGAAATAGGTCTAATCTGTCAAATTATCTTCTGTCCGATTCTTTCACCGAGTTTTAGGTCGAATTCAACGGTAAATTTAGGGGCCTTAGCAGGGCGTAAGAAGCTAGGGCGTTGAAACGCTCATACGCGCTCTCTGGTTCAGCTGTGATGCGGAGTAGGACTGGAACTAGTTCGCCTTTCCGCTCTCGATCCACTGTCAGGGCAAGAAAAATGGCGCTGTCTAGGTGGAGGTAGGTTTGGATTTATTGCTTTATATCTTTAGATCGCTGCAATCTATAATTAGATTTGATATTTGGCGTATCTCTATGCGATATACAGAAAATATTTAGGTGATATTTAATAGTCAGTCTAATAAGTTAAGGCGTTTTATTGCCTTTTATGTTTATGTAGTGTCAAAATGGCCTATCGAATATTATAGGTTGAAGGTCACGTTTTATCTTGCCAGTCAAAACCAAATGATAATAAACGGCTACAAAAAAAGATGTAATGGTTTTATAAATTTTGTTTGTGCATGCAAATTTTTAGAGTGAACTTTTATGAACCTTTAAGGTCTTAATTTGATTGCAAGTAGAATAAATTAAGACTGTGTAGCATTGTATTTTTGTCGTCAGAGGCTTAAGTGTGGTGTTGCACAAACTTTAGTCAGCTGTCAGATGGAAACTATTGGGACTGGCAGAAAATCTCTGTATTAATGGACAGGTGTTACTCTTACAGAGAGTAATACAAAATGGCTGGAGAATTGTAGGAACCAACTCGATTTCCTAGAGGTGCCGTATCTTTTGATTGTACTACGGTATAAAATTTCTAACATGATATCCTCTCTCTTAATATTATATATTGTAGTTACAAGGAAACAGGAAAGTATTTTTGGAATCAAGTTTGATTAAGCCTAGCTGCAGTTAATATGAAATTGAATCATACTGGACTTGAAGTATACAAGTGTGCTATAGGGTTGCTGCATTATGGTCACACTACAAAATTTACTTTTCAATGGTTTAAAAGCTATTACTGGCCATTTGTATTTCATTTGTGCATAATTCTGAATAATTTTCTTGTTTGCAATATACTTTTGAATTTGTATGTTATATAAATGTTTTATGTTGTATCTGTAAGATATATATATAGCAATGTCTGGTTTCAATGTAAGACTAGTGAATGTTTAGTTTCTTTTAAGTTCCTTAGTATGTCTTTCATGGCTAGTTTTCAGTGACCATTTCATTACAAAAAGCTGTTATTATCAAACAAAAATATTTGCTGGGCTACTTATTTGTGTCCTTGCGACCTCTTTGTTAGTTTTTCAAGGGCAGTGAATTTTTTTTTTTTCACATACTTATTCTTCATTGCATAGTAGTCATTTAGTGTACAAGATTAAAAAAAATGATGATTTTATTATAGTTTAAATTTACCCGGACTTTAGTTTTCACAATCTGTCCAACTGTAATGCTCAATATTGGAGATAGGTCAATAAGGTGTTTAGAGAAGAATCCTGATGTACACCAACAAATCCAAACTTTAATAGTGAAAGCAGATCATCTGGCCTTTAAACTGGGCAGCAAAAAATAAATGCCATAGCAGATGATGAATTACACAATTTGATGTTAAACTGAAGTAGAGAACCGATAATATTAGTCTGAAAATGATGTCAGTGCTATCATCTGAGTTGTGATGACATTTTCTTACCAAGTCACGAAATTTAATACAGGTCACGGAGGTGGAACTATATTCAATACCGATATTTGTTCGCGCGGGTAAAATAAAACAGAAAACGAACGTGAGAAAAAATAATTTGTTCCTTCGCCATTGCTCGCAGCAAATGAATGCCACGTGATAATGGCTAAAGTTCGCTGGACGGTCCAGTATAATGTCCGCCATCTTGTTTTGTCTCTTTGGTAGTACCCAGACCCTTGCATCACAGCTAGATCGCTCGACCCCGCTCGTTTCAACGCCCAGCTTCTTACGCCCTGGGTCTTAGTTTTCGTAATTTAGAAAACAAAGACCTGTCTTAGTTTTCGTTATTACGAAAACTAAGACCCCCTAAAAAAAAAACAATCCGTAAAATATATATGAAGTCGAATTACGACCGTTTAAAGACTATAATCCGTAAAACAACCGAAAACTATCATCCGCGTGCTGACTATCTGCTTCTTCTAATTACT